GTGCGTGCGTGCGTGCGTGCGTGCGTGCGTGCGTGCGTGCGAGCGTGCGTGCGCGCGCGCGTGTGTGTGTGTGTGTGTGTGTGTGTGTGTGTGTGTGTGTGTGTGTGTGTGTGTGTGTGTGTGTGTGTGTGTGTGTGTGTGCGTGCGTGCGTGCGTGCGTGCGTGCGTGCGTGCGTGCGTGCGTGCGTGCGTGCGTCTGTGCGTCTGTGTGTGTGTTTGCGTGTGCACTCAGAGGAGGAAAGGGTACCCATACCTCTACCCTTCGCCCGTCTTCCCCTTTTTGGGCCTCCTAGGAGGCCCTCGTCGCCACCGCTGGATTCGCCTCGAAATCCTGGTCAGAACGCACCCTGGGAGAGGTCCGGGGAGTAGCGGTATCGGTACCTTCTGGTCTCCACATGAACGGCATGCCGGGGGAAGCGCCCCGTTGTCATCCCCCGTGCGCCCAGTGGAGGCACTCCCTGGCGCGCGGTGGGGGGCTGCCCTTTCTGGCGGGGTCCGAGCTCGCCCACTGCTCTGGGCGCCTTGGTGCGACCTCGCACCTTGCAACGCTCTTAGGCTTGTCTGCTGCCCGGGCGGTGCCTCCCGCACCGCTCGTCCTCATGGTGTCGGAGTCCTCCTCCTCATCCTCCTCCTATCCATCTCCTCCTGCTCCTATCCACCTCCTCCCTCCGCCGCGCCTCGGCTTGTCGTTGGCTGCCCTCGCTGCCCCGTTGGGCTGGGCTCCTGCTGTGCCCCCGCAGCACCGCACGGCTCGTCGGCCGCCTGGTCGCGGTTTCGTGGCGGCCGCGGACCAGCGTGTTGCCTATGCTGTGGTTGCCCTTTCCTCGCTTGCTGCTGGTCCCGGCTTTCCACAGCCTTACTGACAGCCTTCCTGCGCACCCTCCACCTGCACACCTTGCACCATCGCTGCCCGCGCCTGGGTATGCGTATGTCAGGAGGGGAGAAGCACGCAGTTACAATGAATCGCCCACTCCAGGGAAAATATACGAAAATATGGGAACTGGGGGGGCAGGCGAAAAACCGAGAAAATAGTTGAAAAGATTGGGAATCCTGGGATTTGCGTATCTTCATGCGTGTGTCCCTGGGCTCCATCACTACGGCATGGTGGATCCCATGGGGTCCCTGCCCTTTTTCCTGATGGGCCGGCCGCGCGCGCACTTCTCGCTTGGGGGGCTGCTCTGCCTCGTCCCCAAGCGCGAGGCTGCGGTCACCGAAGACTGTTGGTGCGTATATATTGCATGTGTGGTCGTGCGTATGTCTGTGTGTTGACCTTCGGTCCTTCGGGCCACCCTGGTACTCACGCAGTTGTCCTGGGTTGCGTCCATGCATTTTCGACTTCTGACCCGGGTCGTCGTGTGTCCCGACTTCCTGGTGCTTCCGACGCTATGCATATTTGCGCGTTGGCAGTACTACTCAGTTGCAGCCAGCCCCCTCCGCTCGCCGGTCCGCCGCTGAGGTGCTGCGCGAGGCTCCGCTTAGCCGCTTTAGGTGAGGCTGCTTTCCGTTGCTTTGGATGAATTTGTCGTTGCGTGCCCCGCTTTGGCTGGACTCGCCGCTGGCGCGCTCGCCTGCGGCCGCTGACTAAAAAGTATGTCTGTGTGTTTGAGTTCGCCTTCATCGCCTGATCGCGTATTAATATGAATGAGTGCGCCGGCACTTACCGACGGTGCTTGCTTCTCTCAAACAGTGGCGAAGCGTTATGGTTCGCCCAGAGGCCCACCAAATAAAATGTTAAGGACCGGTTTTGGTCTGCACAAGATGTTATTAGAACATATATTGCAGAGACGTTTTTTTCTTTCAGCACATCAGGTTTATGTTCGAAGAACATGTTCTGTGTTATGAAAACATTTTTGGTGTCCTAAGAACAGTTCGTGGTTCTTATCAGGATGGCGTGACGGTCGGTCCTTGCTCAATTCTCTGGGTTTGTTCAGTGTTGCTCATGATTTTGTGCCAGAGTCCGAAGTCATGACGTTTTATAAACACCTCGGGGTGCAGATATTTTGCCTTACCTGCCACGTGTATTTGGCGCAGCCCCCAAAGCAGGAAGGGGAGGGATATGTTACGACATTCGTAGCCAGAAATTCGGGAATGCGGGAAGGGAGGGAGGAGGGACGGTGCAAGGGGGAGAGAAAAGGATGGATCACGAGAGGGATGAGCCGGAGAGAGGATGCAGGAGAACAAGCAGCCGAATCAGACGGGCGGTTCGGCTGGCGGACCCTAAGGGGCGGGTCTTGCGTGCGGATCGCTGAAGCGTGAGTCCTGCATGAATCGCCAGGAAGTCTCGAACGATAGCGAGTAGATCGTGAGGAACTCCAGAGCGAGGGGGTGATTCCGGATTGTCGAGGATGCTAGAAGGACGTCCACACGAAAGTGCGATTCTTCAGCGCATTGTGAGGAAGTCTCTTACGGGAGCCTTTTTTTGTAGTACACGGGGGGGTCATCAAAGCTTTCTAGCGGGCCAGGTGTTCCCACTTGTAGAAGGCAGGGTGCGAGCTCCAAAGGGGCCGTCAGTTGAAAAATCAAGTGGGCATCGGAACACGTGGGGACGATGGGAGCGAACACGGCCCCGAAGTCAGCGGGGCGAGAGTGCATGGGGCATCAGAAACTTTTGCCCGACGGGAAGCGTCAGCGACGCGCGCACCGAGAAATCCGATAGCATATGCGTCGTGGCGGGCGCTTTCTGGCCACACCGCTCGGGAAACGATGTGTTACAAGATGGGTGTACTGCATGTTCGGGTCGGACGCGCGCCTCCAAGGAGGACATATAGTATTAATTGGCCTCTGTGCGTCCCACCAGGGCCCCAGAAGTCCCCCTGCTGGGCTCTCCACCGCCTGCTGCCGTGGCTGCGGTTGGGGCCCATGCCAAGGAACACCCCGCTTGCCTCCAGGGTGCCCTGGGTTTCTTTGGTGTCGATGGTTTTGCCATGGACAGCGCGATGTTCCCACGCCAAACATCAGAGGACGTCATGGGGTCTCAGGGTTGGGTTTCTTGTGGAAGGTTTCTTGTGGACTGGCCCGGCCTCCACTGCAATGCGGCAATCCCGCCGAATCCGGCACCTAATTTGGCATAGTTCGGCTTCATGGCTTCTTGACCTTGAGAGTGCGTTTTCTTCCCAAGTATAGCAGGTCTACTTGTATGGCAGCTCCCTCCCCCCCGTCCGCCACCTTTTCAAGCAGCGCTGGGCCGAAAAGCCGGGCAAGCGAGACCCGACGATCGTGACTCCTAGATTTCCTTCCGGGTCGGGCCGATGAGGTTGGCTGTATTGTTTAAGAGAAGGCTCGCAAGAGCGCTCCTTGACGCAGCGAATTATCTGAGAGCCCCCAGGGGCATCCGTCCTTGGTGGTGTCACTTGCGAACCAGACCTTGTCACCGGCCTGGAAGTCTGTCACTCCCTCCCCGACAGCCTCGACCACCCCCGCACTGTCCCAGCCAACGATGAGGCGCTGGGGGGGCGCCTCCTCGCCTGGTGCCAGGGCGCCGGCGATCACCTTGTAATCGATGGGGTTGGTTGCGATGGCCATGTTCTTGACCAGGACCTCCCCGGCCCCTGGCTGCGGCTTCTCCACGTCCATCGCTGTCAAGAGCGCCGAGGCATCGCCGTACTTGGTGACCGCCCACGCCTTCATCATGCTCGTCGCTTGCGCAGAGATGAGGTCTACTAACAACGAGAGGGTCGAGCGATGCTGGCTGGCAGGGTGGCCTGCTCGAGTCTTGAGCCAAAATGGCTACGGATTCATTACAAAGGTGTAATGAGCCGTCGGCCCGATTGCAACCGCTTGTTTCGGAATTCTACTCGCAGTACACCAAGATCGACTCACGGCTCATCAGCAAGATGCCCAGTACGCTCTCCTTCGAGGACGCTGCTGCCTTGCCGCTGACCTTCCAGACAGCGTGGGAGGGCATGGTGGAGCTGATGGGCGTCCAGAAGGGCAAGTCGATCTTCGTCTTGAATGGCGCTGGCAGGCTCGGGTCGATCGTCATCCAGGTCGCAAAGCACCTCGGGCTCGCAGTGATTGCCTCCGCATCGCGCGCGGAGACCATCGAGTTCTGCAAGCAGATGGGCGCGGACCACGTGGTCAACCACCGCAACGAGGACCTCGGCGCTGAGCTCAAGCAGGTCGGCTTCGACTGCGTGGACTATATCTACAATGCCCACGAGAACGATCGCCTCGGGGAGCTCTTCAAGCTGCTGGTGTGCGACGGGAGGCTTGTGGTCACCTACGGCCCTACGCAAGAGCAGATGGCGAAGGTGGACTGGACCACCGTGTGGCTGAAGAGGCAGACGCTGTGCTTCCAGATGATGTTCGCGCGGCCCATGTTCAACACCGAGCCCGCGATGGTGGGTGGCGTGATGGCAACCATGGCAAAGCTTGTGGACCAGGGCAGCATCAAGACGACTGTCACGATGATGCCCTTTCTCATGCTTAAACGTGGACAGGAAGCGCTTTCTCGGAACGAGAAGGTGATGGGAGGTGACGGGAAGCTCCTTCTCCGAACGAGAAGGTGATGGGAGTGTGTTCGAGGCCTGCCGAGTAAGGAAAAATATTGTTTGAGGGAGTTTCTGTGGAACTCACGTCATCCTCACCCCCGGCGCGAAGAGCACGAGCCCAGAGCGGCCTCCGGCACCGTTTCCGGACGGATCCGCTGGATCCGCTGGATCCGCTGGATCCGCTGGATCCGGTGACGAATCCCAAACCGGCGCCCTCGCCTGAGACATCCTCACAAAACGGGCCCCGGGGGGGATGCCCAGAGGAGCCCAGAGCGGCCTCCGGCACCGTTTCCGGACGATCCGCTGGATCCGCTGGATTCCGCTGGATCCGTTGACGAATCCCAAACCGGCGCCCTTCGCCTGAGACATCCTCACAAAACGGGCCCCGGGGGGGATGATGCCCAGAGGAGCCCAGAGCGGCCTCCGGCACCGTTTCCACGGACGCGGATCCGCTGGATCCGCTGGATCTGGTGACGAATCCCAAACCGGCGCCCTCGCCTGAGACATCCTCACAAAACGGGCCCCGGGGGGGATGCCCAGAGGAGCCCAGAGCGGCCTCCGGCACCGTTTCCGGACGGATCCGCTGGATCCGCTGGATCTGGATCCGTTGACGAATCCCAAACCGGCGCCCTCGCCTGAGACATCCTCGCAAAACGGGCCCCGGGGGGGATGCCCAGAGGAGCCCAGAGCGGCCTCCGGCACCGTTTCCGGACGGATCCGCTGGATCCGCTGGATCCGCTGGATCCGGTGACGAATCCCAAACCGGCGCCCTCGCCTGAGACATCCTCACAAAACGGGCCCCGGGGGGGATGCCCAGAGGAGTCCCAGAGCGGCCTCCGGCACCGTTTCCGGACGGATCCGGTGGATCCGCTGGATCCGCTGGATCCGGTGGACGAATCCCAAACCGGCGCCCTCGCCTGAGACATCCTCACAAAACGGGCCCCGGGGGGGATGCCCAGAGGAGCCCAGAGCGGCCTCCGGCACCGTTTCCGGACGGATCCGCTGGATCCGCTGGATCCGGTGACGAATCCCAAACCGGCGCCCTCGCCTGAGACATCCGCACAAAACGGGCCCCGGGGGGATGCCCAGAGGAGCCCAGAGCGGCCTCCGGCACCGTTTCCGGACGGATCCGCTGGATCCGCTGGATCCGCTGGATCCGCTGGATCCGGTGACGAATCCCAAACCCGCGCCCTCGCCTGAGACATCCTCACAAAACGGGCCCCGGGGGGGATGCCCAGAGGAGCCCAGAGCGGCCTCCGGCACCGTTTCCGGACGGATCCGCTGGATCCGCTGGAATCCCGCTGGATCCGGTGACGATCCCAACCGGCGCACCTCGCCTGAGACACATCGCTCACAAAACGGGCCCCGGGGGGATTGCCCAGAGGAGCCAAGCGGCCATCCGCAGCCGTTTCCCGGACAGGATCCGCCGCTGGATCCGCTGAATCCGCTGGATCCGGTCACGAAATCCCGAAACCGGCGCCCTCGCCTGAGACATCCTCCCAAAACGGGCCCCCGGGTGGGATGCCAGAGAGCCCAGAGCGGTCCTGCCGGCCAAACGTTTTTCTCGTACGGATCCGCTTGAATACGCTTGATCAGCTGTATCCGGTGACGAATCCCAAACCGGCGCTCGCCCTAGACAATTCCCCCCCCTCACAAAACGGGCCCCGGGGGGGATGCCCAGGGAGCCCAGAGCGGCCTCCGGCAACGTTTCCGGACGGATCCGCTGGATCCGCTGGATCCGCTGTATCCGGTGACGAATCCCAAACCGGCGCCCTCGCTTGAGACATCCTCACAAAACCGGCCCCGGGGGAGGTGCCCAGAGGAGCCCAGAGCGGCCTCCGGCAACGTTTCCGGACAGATCCGGACAGATCCGGTGGACGAAATCCCAAAACAGGCGCGCCTCGCCTGAGAACATCCTCAAAAAACTTTTGCCCCCTGGGTGAATGCCCCGGGTAGGAGCCCAGAGCGGCCTCCGGCACCGTTCCGGACGATCCTCTGGATACGCCTTGATCCGCCTGGATCCGCCGACGAATCCCAAACCGGCGCCCTCGCTTGAGACATCCTCACAAAACCGGCCCCGGGGGAGGTGCCCAGAGGAGCCCAGAGCGGCCTCCGGCACCGTTTCCGGACAGAGCCGCTGGATCCGCCGACGAATCCCAAACCGGCGCCCTCGCTTGAGACATCCTCACAAAACCGGCCCCGGGGGAGGTGCCCAGAGGAGCCCAGAGCGGCCTCCGGCACCGTTTCCGGACAGATCCGGACAGATCCGGTGGATCCGCGCCCCGGGGGAGGTGCCCAGAGGAGGAATGATGATGATGATGATGATGATGATGATGATGAGGAGGAGGAGGGGGAGGAGGAGGAGGAGGAGGAGGAGAAGATGATGGAGCTGCGGGGTGGAGGAGGACAGACGGAGGCAAGAGAAGGATGGAGGAGGAGGAGGAGGAGGAGGAGGAGGAGGAGGAGGAGGAACCTCATCCTCACCCTCGCCAACAAGCGCACGCACCTTCTTCTATATACAGAAACTCCCGATCAACCGCAGAGCGGCCGGCTAGTATAATATGATCCTTGCGCAGGACCCAACCATGTGCAGCTGTGTGTGTAACGCCGTTGTGGGTATCGTCCTCGGTGAACCTCTCTCTGGGGCCACGACGCGTGTGACGGGTGTGCCAAAATTGTTGGCACGGGCACGCCGTGCGGACGCTGCCACCGGACCCGTCGGTGCAGCCCCATGTGAGGCCACAAAACGTGTGAGGGGTGCGCCGAAATGCAGGATGGAACCACGTGCGGGCGCTGCCATTGGTGTCTTTGGAGGCCACGAAACGTGGAAGGGGTGCGCCGAAATCGAGGGTGGAACTGCATGCGGAACCTGCCTCTATGGGGCCACGAAACGTGTGAGGGGTGCGCCGAAATGGAGGTGGAACTGCATGCGGACCCTGCCACTGGGGCCGCTGGGGCCTTCGGCGGAGCACCCTATGCGGCCACGAAGCGTATGAGGGGTGCGCCGAAATGGGAACTGCACGCGGACCCTGCCACTGGGGCCTTCAGCGGAGCACCCTATGGGACCGCAGAACGTGCGCGGGGTGCGTCGACATGGCCGGGTGGAACTGCATGTGGACCCTGCCCTGGGGCCTTGGGTGGAGCACCCTATGTGGCCGCGGAACGTGCGCGGGGTGCGTCGACATGGGGGTGGACCAGCATGCGGACCCTGCCATTGAGGCCTTCGGCGGAGCGCCCTATGCGGCCACGAAACGTGTGAGGGGTGCGCCGGCATGGGGGTGGAACTGCATGCAGACCTTGCCACTGGGGCCTTCAGCGAAGCACCCTATGGGGCCACGAAACGTGCGGGGGGTGCGCCGAAGTGGAGGTGGAACTGCACGCGGACCCTGCCACTGGGGCCTTGGGTGGAGCACCTCATGGGGCCACGAAGCGTATGAGGGGTGCGCCGACATGGGGGTGGAATTGCATGCGGACCCTGCCACTGGGGCCTTCGGCGGAGCACCTTCTGGGGCCGCGAAACGTGTGAGTGGTGCGCCGAAGTGGAGGTGGAGCTGCATGCGGACCCTGCCACCGGGGCCTTCGGCGGAGTACCCTATGGGGCCACGAAACTTGTGAGGGATGCGCCGAGATGGAGGTGGACCTGTATGCGGACCCTGCCACTGGGGCCTTCGACGGAGCACCCTACGGGGCCACGAAGCGTGTGAGGGGTGCGCCGAAATGGACATGCGGAGGGCAGAGGCAAGGGATGGGAGGAGGGGGAGGGAGGAGGGAGGAGAGGGAGGAACGCGGGAGGTGAAGTGAGGTCAGATGGGGGGCGCTGTCTCTTCAAAACGAGGACCACACACCTTAGGATGGTTGGGAAAAAGAAAAAAACTCGCGAGAGACCCACAGCTTGCGGTTGCAACATATAGCCTGCTCGGCGGATGACGGGAAGCGCCTTCTCTGGCGACATGCCCCCCCTAATGCACCCGTACCAAGAGGAGCGCTGCTTCGTGGTAGAGTGCCAGGACAGCGTGAAGGAGGGCAAGGTTCGTTGGATCGGAGCGACTGACCGTCACCGCGTGCTGATCGTATCCATCCCACAACCCTGTGGGGCGTTGAAGTGGCAGAAGCTTGCGGAACTTATGATCGACGACGACCATGCTCCTCGCACCACGCCGTGAGCTCAAGGAAGTGAAGTAGTCGACGAGGATGTTGGGTTTACTCCAGGTGGGTGGGTCCACCAGGTTGCATGCACCAGTGCTCACTTCTTCAGTAAAGCCTGCTGCAGGCGCCTTGTTTACTTTTGTGTTTTTCCAGCGCTAATGCCTCTTCGTCCGCTCCACATCCTTCTCGGCCCGCTGCGTTGGTGACTTTGAGTTTGGCTCGCCCCTCAACCCTGCCCTTGTGTAGCCTGGTGCGTTGTCGACTTCGCATTGCTGATCGGGGCGGCTCCCGCTATGTTGCACTATGACTATCCTGCACATGATGCGTTGCGCCGTTTGAAAATCACGGTTCGCCGCCGGCCCGTGGCCAGAGTGTCGCGTCCTGATGTGCGGGCTTCCCACCAGTGGGTGGTCAGTTTCGTACGTTGCGTCCGTGGACGCGCGCACGCGCGTTCCGACCTTGCGGTTGGCTCTGTGAGTGCTCGCGAGACCTCAGCGTTGGGGTTGCGTCTTCGAACAAAAAAGCGCCGACTTGGAACGAGAAGGTGGTGGGAGCTTGCTAGAGGGAAGCTGCATAAGGAAGACAGGAATAACAATGACGCGAGGCACCCCTGGCTCGCCGCTGCAAGAGGTTGATCGCTCGGTGGATGACGGGAAGCGCTTTTTCGGAACGAGTTGGTGATGCGAGCTTGCAAGAGGACCGGAATAAAGGAATGCATGAAGAAATAAGACGTGAGAGACCCCGGGCTCGCGGCCGCAAAAGGTTTATCGCTTTGCGAATTCTTCCCCGCAGCGGCCGTTTCGTCTGAGACATCCTCGAACCAGTGAGATCACCAAGGAGTTGTTTCAGGACGTTCTATGTGAACAGTGAGGCTCCCGCTCGAGACATCCCC